ATTAATCTTAGCCTCCTAACTTACTTCATAAATGCTTCTGAAGACATTCTAAAAATGATGGGAGGAATGCATACGTTCCAAATGACCCAGAGGGTTGACATCTGAATAAATTTTAAAATGCAGATATAATCCACCAACAAGGACATATACAGAATGTAACCTGACAATGCTCCTCTGATAGTGCTTGGTTTGAACGAATTATTTGATGAAGGTCGGTATCCATCAGCTCATATGCTATATAAACATCGTTAAATGTTTCCCTTAGAGGCGGAGGTATGATATCCCTAATTGCAACAACCTGAACCACCATCATCAGTAGTACAATTAAACCAAAATAAAAAAACACAATAACTTGTCTCATTAGGGGCAGTGCCATAGCCAACTATGTGGAATGCCCTTAACTTGAGACATCATATATAATTGTACAATAATTCAATTTGGTGTAAGGTACATAACTTTCAGATCATTATTGTGCGAGTACAGAAACTACAACCAAGCTGAGAAAATAGTGCATAGAGTTGAGAGAAAAATAGAATAGATCAAATTCCAATGTACTCGACCTAAATTGTAAACATTTCAGAGATTATAACACCTATAAGACAACGTGTAGATGATATGGTTTAATTTGCAGTTTATCCTTGATAATTTTACAATTCCTATGAATTATTATCATGTTATGAATTCATGCAAATGAGATATTATACAATCCAATTGAGTTCTTTTAAGTGTAGATGGTTGGTGATCTTTATCTCAGTAACTACGAATCCACACAAAGTTTATAATATAACAAAAAAATAATGAGTTTTTTTAGTATTATGTTTTTTCCCTTCTCTTTCCACTTAGTACTTTCTCATTCAATTCCTTTTTAATTCTAAGAAATCATATATATGCACGTAAATTTATATAAGAAATCACATTTTCATTACGAGAAATGAAAGAATATAAAAAAATACACAAAAAAAAAGGAGTACAATCCTAACCACAGAAAAGGGATCCAATCTAAAAGAACAAGACCAAACTTATAATTACAAAAAGACCTAGTTACTACGCCTATGAAAAGGCATTAAACCTAGTCATCTCTCAAAATTCCTCCCTCGATTTCTTCACCCCTCTAAAATTCTATTATTCCACTCAATCCAAACCCACACACAAGACTATAATGAAGCTAGCCTATCACGGAGCTTTACTCTTCTCTAGAAGGGAGAACTCAAAAGCACCACCTCCGGCAGAGCCCTACCATCTCTGTTCCAAACCCAACATACATCTAATGACATAGCTATAAAGGTAGTGAGCAAATTGGTAACCTCATAACAAATGATTCAGGTCCTCCTCGTGTCTCCTACAAAAAGTGCACATGCAGGAACAAAACATTGGAAGAATGCCTTTGAACACTATCCAAAGTCTCAAGTCTCCCATGTAAAACCTGTCACGCAAACATCATAACCTTCTTTGGAATTTTAAATTTCCAGAGAGGAGAACATCAAGGCAACAAGGGAAGGAGAATGAGAAGATAAAATAAGAAAAAAAAGAATGGCAAGAGAAGCCCCTACAAGAATCGGGGTCCAAACCTAACATTGTTTCTCCCTAGAATCATATGCTGGTTTTGAAGAAGAGAAAGAAGACTGGTGACTTCCAATGCCTCTCTGTCAGACAAAGGATGTTGGAAGCCTACTAGCCCTTTTTTTCCTTCTTCTTCTTCATTCAAGGAGACAAGTATAATGTCACTAGCGGTTTTAACATTAAGCATGGAGAGTTGATAAAAGGCTGAAAACGGAGCTAGATAAGTCAGGAAGAAGAAGGAAGGGCAATTTAAAATTCGATTGAAGCAACAAGAGAATACGCACTTAGAGCTTCTTGGACATTAGCAAAAGAACCAGTCAGTCCCAATGAGTGTTTGTAATAAAATAGCAGGAAAGGCAAGGAAAGAACTTAATTGCTTTTTGACTCGCTGAAGAGATTACAGACTCTCCCTGTAACAAAGGCAGAAGGAGTTTCACCTTTCCTCTGCCCTTTTCATACCAATTCACAATGAAATCCAACATTAGTCAAGTCTCTTTCTAACTGTTTTTCCTATTTCTCTTACACCTTCATTATCCATGGCGAAAATCTTGTTTCCCCTTTTCTTAATGCAGTCTAATAATAAAGTACTCTCATGCTACACATGAGTTTATAGAAAAACCAGTGAGGTTTCAGTATGAAAAGGCTTGTCACCTACTAATTTATATATTTTAGGAGTTCTAATTTTCAATTCAGACTTAGGGACAGCATAATGTGTTTTTTCCTTGTAAAATGATCGTTGATTGTGACATAAAAGTGTAGACTCAATGCAGGAAAAGACATTCTTGCCAAAAAGCCCAATATTGTAAAGGAATTCTTCATCTTTTTTTCTTTTTTGGGTATGTTTCGAAATTATTGCTTTGTCACGGACTCTCCAAGAATAATTCTTTCTACACATGGATCAGATGAAGAAAGGAAAAAGGAAATGATGCCAGTTTCGGTTAATTCAGAGAGAGACAAAAAATGCAATTTACTAATTAGGCAAGAACTTCAACCAATGTACAGAAAATGCAAATTTCTACTCTTCCAGCTTTCTAGATAATCAAAGACGATGAAAAGGTGAAAGAATCAACAGTCCGCAATATCTTATAATCACTCACTGACGTTTTCATGATCCATGTGCCGAAGAAGCTTGATCTCACGAAGAGTTCTCTTAGCATCGATCTTGTTGTCAAACGCATTAGCAATCTTCTTGATCGCCACGTGCTCGTTCGTCTCGGAATTTAGAGCAGAACTGAACAATCAACGCGCATTCCCCCAAATCAACAACAGCAAACAAGTACACTACAACAATCAGAACTTCAAAAAATTGGGGGAAAGAAGAATAAAAAAACACACAGAAGATGGATCGTACAGACCAGACGATGCCATAAGCGCCTTTGCCAATAGGCATAATGGGAGGCTTGTACTTAGCCGTAACTTCGAAGATGTTACCAAAGATATTGTACTGAATAAATCTCCCTCCATGGCTCAAAGTCGCCGGAATATTTTCCATCCCCATCGACGGCGGCTGGTGCGCCGCCGGGTCATGCTGCGACGGTATAGACGCCGCCTCCGACATGACGGCGTCGTCCGGCTGAGAAGCTCCTCCGTCGTCCATTAAAATTGCGTCCGGTATCAAATCGATTGCCTTTTTTACCACCGAATGTGAAAAAATCAAAGCCCTAGAGCTTAATTTAGATCAAACTTGAAAAAAAAAATGAATGGATCTGATCTGATCGTCCCTCCTCCTACAAGTTGCCGCAGCCCTTATTCCTTGTTCTTCTTCTTCTTCTTCTTCCTTTATTGTTGTAAAGTTATATTTTATCCTCTGATGATTTACAGAGAACACAGCGTTCCCCACGACAGGGATGAAATTTGCAAAAAAAAAAAAATTAATTATTTATTTATTTATTATTTGCATTCATTTTTTTAAAAAAAAAAATAATTAATTTTATTTTCATATTATTTTTTTCTAAATTTTTTATATATACTAAAAAAAACAATGAAATATTTAAAATAAAATAGAAGAATTCCAAAATCAGATTATATTTAATGACGCGAGTAGTCAATTTAGTTAAATAATATATTTTTTAAATGTTATTTTGTTCACGTATTTCAACTTGTCGAATCTCGGAGCTGGGTTCCCGACCCATTTAGCTAACGTATTTGTTCCTTCTTCGTTTAAACGATGACTTTTTACCCTCTTCAATATAGGTCCCCAAGGAGTCGGGCATCTCTAATAACATTTAATTTCGATGTTATATATCATTCAAATTTAGTTTTAATGGATGATTGATTTTGTAAGACGAGAGAATAAATTGTTTCGGAAACTGAAGAATGTAACCCTAACCTCTAGTTGATTAATTGAGTCACACTCGTGTTGATTACAAGAGAAGATAAGTTAAAAAGGGTATAGCGTGGTGTTGAAAATTAAGCATTAATTATAATTATTACTATTCGTTGAATTTACGAGATTGGCTTACGACTATTTAACTTCCCAACATGAAAATTGCCCACTAGTTAAACACAATTAGCTCGAACCTAAACTAGATTAAGGTCAAGGGAAAACTCGAGCCTATAATGTCGAAATAACCTAGTCCAAAGTTCACGTTAACATTAGCAAGACATGTGATGGGCTAAAAAGTCCAAAGGCGTACCTTAGCCACGATGGACGAGGGCAAAGTCGAGGCGGGCTATGTTTCAAGGTGTGTGATTTGCGTGCTTACAACGAGGGTAAGTTTATTAAGCTCGGAATAAGATAAAATAATATTTCTATGATTTAAAATTTATTAGAGACGACACAAAATTAAAAATTAATAGAAAAAAAAATTGTGGAATTTAGGCATTTTTAAAAGTTTATAAATTATTTTTATAATTCAACCAATGAAAAAGCTCCAAATGTCAATAAATAATTTACTCGAACAGTATAGTAAAAAAAAAAAAAAAAAAAAAA